CCGACCAATGCATGCTGATAAACCCGTCGGACGAATTTAAATCCCACGATGGCGTCCGCGGTAACCTCTTCCTTCCGGATCCGTGCTCCTCGATCCCGGATCCTTCGCACTGCAACAATTCCTTCAGCCGCCACGCTACGGCTTAAATGTATCACGCCGGACGATTTATTAACCCATTTCACGGGCAGACACTGCGAACTTCGAGGATTTCGTCGAGATAGATACCGATAACTTTCCACGTTGGAACGAGCCCGTCTTCGTGCTCTGGCAGTGCTTTCGTGATTGCGATGCCGGCCATTTTCCCAGCGAGAATATTTGCGATCTGATGGATCGCCCGCGGTACCTCGACACAGAGAACACGAACATAAATAATATTTTCGTTGTGTTACCTCGTGAAACATTTTATTGAAATTGCAGACAATGCGATAAATTTTTGATAGCGGACGTTGTGAATAGATTTTTAGTTTGTAACTGTCTCGTTTCTTTTGTGAATTGGTAATTTGTAATTTTATTTCGAAAATTTATTTAGCATTATAAGACTGACAGAAATATTAATATCCATTGCTTTGTTGATTACAGTCCTCATTAGCAGAGCTTGCATCAATGAATGAATAAAAGACTTGACTCGTTAAAATAAAAGCGTATTTAAATAATAGCCGGCTGAAAGTACTGCCGAGTAAGTAGCCTAGCATAATTAATGTTACTGAAACATAAAGTTCATCTTCATTAACAATTATTATCGAAACTTGTGAATACGCATTCACGAGTTCCATTTGTATTAAAATTATCTCTTTTCTACTTTCTTAAGACCCACATCTCTTTACTGTACTAATAACGTAAAAAGTTTTTACATCAGCAAATAATTTGTAGCTTGGAGAGGAGGGGGAATAAATATGATCAGAGCAGAAAATCTTGGTTATGAAATAATTTGTAAAAATAAACAAGTCTCGAGTTAGTAAAAATAAATAAATTACCGGTTTAAGGTAACAGCAACAATTAAATCGACCAAATTTACTAAATAAAAATATAATGTTCCACAATATTTTTTACAGGAAAGATAAATAATCCTACACACAAAAAAATACTTACTGTACGCAAGTATTACTTGTTTCAAGTATTTCAAAAGTTTATACATCCGTAAATCTATTATAAGTTTATCACAAGTATAAAATTTATTCAAAATGTATTCTGAATAGCAAGTTTATACTTTGATAAAAATTATTACTTTAAAACAAATTCGATTCATATAAAGTTGCTTCTTTGATCAATTTTATAATATTATTCTTCAAAAGAAAATAAATTCTTATTTTGAATACATATAATAATGAGTTTTCTAAAACTTGTAATAAGTATATTTTAAGATTATCATCACGAAAATATTTTTTATTAAAGATAATTGTTACTTGAAAGTAAGAAAATAAATTGAGTAATCACTTTTCTTAGCAACAAAATGATATTTTTCTGTGTATAATAGAAAAACGTTGGAAGAACTTTGCGATCTGCACAGATAGCATAATGGAAATAATTCTCAGTTTGCGTGCAGGTGCAAATTGAGCACGATCTCGGTGTTGCAAACTAACCACGGAGTTTCGTATAATTTTATTACTTACGCGTTATATCGCTAAACCGTAGTTGCATTATATTAACAGGTTTATCGGAAAAGGAGAGAGATAGTTAGTTCGCTTAGCATTAGAAAATTAATGTTTGCAATCAAGTTACAGATGTCATCTACAAACAGGATTGATCGAGGGTGCTTCTCGCAACTTTTTAAAGAAAACTCTTAGTTTCTATTATCGCACTAAGAATAAACAATAGCACTTACTCCTCTATTATCTAGGAGCATACTTTATACAGACGTGCTTGCACTCTTTCCTTGATTGGATGGTCATTGTCGTTAGTTTCCTTATCTCGCAGCCAGCGCGACTGCAGAACAATTGCATCGCCAACGATGTGACCAACGTTCCAACTCGCGAAAACACGTAGTCTTCCGCTTTCCTATCGTATTGTTGCATTCAGTTCCTTCGTTGTTTTCCTTGCGCGACGACGGGATAATTCGCTAATGGAGGGACAACTCGCAATTACTCCGGCGTTGTTCTTATCGCCTTTTGCAGCGACACTTTCTTGAAGTACCTATTGTTATTCCCCATTCCAACGACATATTTTCCGCGCCACTCGAAAACAACTTTATATCGGGAACCGTCGTCGCTTAATTGTATTAATTAATTAACTACCGGGAACTACCGGTGAGACCGACTTACAGGCACATTACGGTAACAAGTTTGCGGTTGTGGAAAGACGGAAGTTGCTCTAGGTCAAAGTTGAACACGATAGGGACGTCGAGGCAAGCCATTCAATCCGCAAACAGGATTTATCTACGCCTGCTCACTCGTCTCGCGTATCCCCATTTTGTCTCTCACGCCTCTCTTTGTCTTTCTCTTGATTTTCTCGTTCAACAAAAAGACAATTTCTTGATAGGCAAGCATTCCGAAACATTTTATTGGCCTCTCGTTTAAAACTTTAAAATAACTCCTAAGTAACTTGGTTAAAAATATAACATTTAGATTCGAAATTTTCGTAAAGGATCTACTCCAAAAATATAAAAACAGGTGTTGAATTGTATAATTTAGCTTATTATTATTACTATTATTATTATTATTATTATTAGTATTTTGTGTCTGTAGTCATGAAACTAGGATCAAAGGCGTGACATTTAGATTCAAAATTACGCAGAGCGGTGAAGGAAGATGGAACTAGTAATTTGATTCGCAAACACAATTTATATCCTTTCGTCCTCCTACCACGTCGGTCTGTCCTTCCTGCTTCTTTTAGCCTTGAATCTTCTTGCTCTTTGATTCACTTATCACGCTAAAAGACGATTTACTAATGGACAGACATCTGCGGGACGACTTTTACTTTGCTACCTTCTTCAATGTATGTCTGCATTATTGCTCCTTTTTATATCTTTTATTTAAAAAAAAATTTTATTAATTCTTATTAATTCTTTGTCTGATATACTATATGTATACTATATGCAATGTCGTATACCAATTATGATAACGCTCACAAATATCTCCTGACTTAATCAGCTTTTTTTTCGAAATTTATCGCGTTATCAGAGGCGAATATCTGACCTTTTAATCTTAAAGCATAGCAACACCTTTATAGCGAAGCGCACCGTGAACGATATAGAGGCGTCAATTCAATCCACAAACGGGATTTATCGTCTCATCTCCTTTTCTGCCTCTCATCCCTGCCATAGATCTCTCGTCTACCTCGATTTTCTTATCGTGCGGAAAGATTCGACGGGGAGTTACTCTCCGAAGATTTCTAAAGTGCTTTATTTTTTTCTTCTTTCGAATCTTTTGGAAATGACGCTTATCCAAAGTCACCATTGTTCGATTTGTATCGTCTCCCGATTCTACTGCACTCTTGAAAAGTTTCGATCAATATAGTAAATTGAAAGTCGGGCTTATAGAGCCCAACGTTGACAACTTGTCAAACGAGTTACAACGTCGTGGAAGACGGTATTAACGGATTACGCGCGCTCACGCCTAAAGCTAAATCGATTCTCTCTGAATAATCGATTCATTACCTAGCACGCGAGATAGGTGTATTGCTTGCGGCGTATCGAAGGAACCTTCCTAATGTACACACGTCCTAACCCTCGGTTTCTAAGAAATTACTTTCATGAATCGCAGTTTGCCGGGAGAAATTAGTACCGCCTGTAAATTATTCTTAAGTCAGAGAATTACGACCACGATCTACGCTACCTAAAGGAATTACATTGGAAATTAACTTTCGAATCGTCTTTTCAATTGGATTTATATATTTGCGTAGAGTTTTCTACTAGAGTATGATTAAACTTTCCCAATATTGACGTGTTGATACTGTCACTTGATACTGTCGCGTTAATACTGTTACTTCGACGCAATTAACATGTTAATATTTTAATCTATCCCTTTTTTTCCATCGTTTGTTTATATTCTCACGGATAAAGTTTCTTGCAGCGGCATAAAAATACGGCTCTTTGCTATAAACCTTAAATATTGTCTCTCTTCCGTGGAAAAACGAGCTGTCGTTTACCTCGGCTTTATACCAAGAGGCCAGGGCGGTGGAAAAATGAAAGGATCGTAAAGTGGTGAAAACTTTATATTTCAAAGGTGTCAACAACGCTCGAGTAATGTCTGACTAACGAGAAACAACGTTTAACGGGATACCTACGAGCCTGTACCACGATCGAGCCGTAATCGTTTTCTTGAACGACGCCATCGTCGAGAAAATACAAAGCGGGTAATGCAGAACAGCATTCAGTTAGATGGTTTCCTACGACAGGGTTAAATAATATACAGTTTTAATGTAAAACGTGACTTTTTCGTTGACTATTAGCGACATTTCGTTTAAAAGCAGCGCAAATTACATTTTTTTAAATATCGCATTTGTAAAATGCTAACAAAAAGTTAATCTGACATATCTATTTAGCCTGAAAATGAATGAGTACCATATTTCGTCGTATAACAAATTAAAAAAGCCGGTGAGGCATTTAAAAGATTACAAATTTAATGTAACATTTAATGTGATTTACTTATATTTAAATATTCTTTCATTTCTCGTTCTTTCTAATTAATTTTTAATTCATCAAATATGGTAGTTATTTTTATTAATAAATAATAAATATATGAAATAAAAAATTCTCTTAGAAAAGTGGTTTAAAAGAAAGTCATTATTCAACTTATTTCAATATACCTTCAATAATTGGAAAATCAAAAGAAATTATTACGATGCATAATAAAGTATTCTTGATTAAAAGATTGCCCTTTCAAATAGAACACACACACATAGAAGAAAATTTAAAGCTTTAAAGTTAAAATACATGAAATCTTTTATTCTGCGCTACTAAATGCTTTCTTTTTAATTTTTGTTGATATATATTGTTTATAAGTAATTGATTTTATACATTTTACTTCTAAGCAACCCTGTCGTATTATGCTATAATTCATATGTTAAACTTGCGCAATCTCCGTGTGCTCTACGGATTCCCTCACTTTCGGTGATTTCGTGATCTTTAGAACGTCTTTTAAAGGCGGTGTCACTGAAATCGCTGCGCTTTCTTCTGAGAGTATGAATTCTTCATGAACAGGCGGGGATTCGAAACGATGGCCGAAACTTTTGTAATGCCCGTGATCGTAATTTTCGAACACATGGAGGTGATGATCCTCGTGGTGCTTATGATGATGATCATGTCCATGCTTATGGTGGTGATCCTCGTGATGCTCACGACCTTCGTGATGCTTGTGATGATGTTTGTGGTCGTGTTCCTCGTGATGCTTATGATCCTCATCGTGATGATGATACTCGTGATGATCATGATGATGTTTATGGTCGTGGCCATGTTTATGATCTTCTTTATGATGATGATCCTCATGATGACCATGATGATGATGCTCCTTATGATCGTGTTTATGTTCATGGCCATGCTTGTGATGATGATCTTCATGATGGTGATGCTTGTGATCCTCGTGGTGTCCATGTTTATGGTCATGTCCGTGTTTGTGGTGATGATCCTCATGATGGCCGTGCTTGTGCTCATGTCCGTGGTGATGCTTATGTTCCTCCTTATGCTCGTGCTTATGATGCTCTTTGTGATCGTGTCCATGATGATGATGATGTTTCTCAGTTTCCTTATGACTGTGATGATGATGATGCTCGTTAACATGATGATGGTCATGGTGATGATGGTGCTCGTTATGATGATGATGCTTATGATGATGGTGATGCTCAGAGTGGTGTTTATGTTCTTCATGGTGTTCGTGCTTCGAATGGTGATGATGTCCGTGATAGTGCTTATGCTCTCCATGATGTTTATGCTCATGACCATGCTTATGTTCATGGCCATGATGATGCTTATGATCAGAATGGTGCTTATGTCCATGATCATGATGATGATCTTGATGATGTTTGTGGTCTTCGTGATGTTTATGTTCTTCATGATGATCATGCTCGTGCTTATGCTCATGACCATGAAGATGCTTGTGTTCGTGATGATGGCCGTGCTTAGCATGGTGGTCATGATGCGAATGATGACCGTGATGATGACCGTGATGATGATCGTGATGATGTCCATGATGATGTCCGTGTTTATGGTGGAAGGAATGGGATTTGTGATGGGATGATCTGTCGAAATCGTGAATTCGACGTTGTGATTCAGGGATCGATGGGGTCACGATTGTGACATGACCAAGCGACGGCGATGTCTCGATTATCCGCGTGATAATCTGCTTTGGTTGCGGAGTGATTCGTGGAACGATGCTGTCACCGTGACCCGCGCCAAAAGTTGTCTCGAGAAGCGGAAGTGGAGTTTGACCATTTAGCGGTAACAATGGCTCTGGAAAGGTTAGCCCGAGATTGGCCAGCTGTCGTTTCTTCTGATTTCTTTCGACTGGCGCGATAATGCCCGGTAGATTCTTGGGCACGAACGGTCGAGGCGGCTGCAATTGTCTCAGCAGCTTGATGGAACCAACCAGTTCTTGTTTGGTCGTCGACACCTGCGGTCGAATCTCATCTCGTGTTTTAGGTTCCTGACCAGTCGCTGCTGCCAGCAACAGACCAACGACCGGAAACCACGCCTAGGATGACAGACGAGTTCGGTAAATGGAACCTGTTCGTGGAACGGCGATATCTTTTGGATTGTTAATCTAATAGCAACTTATCATTATTGCCGAATTTGGATTAGCTATACATGAGAAAATATAACGTTGTGTCAGCAACATTAGTCAATAGTATTCCAATTGAAAAATAATCTTGTTTTAATAATGATATCACTAAAACAAATAATATTTTATTAGAATAAGAGCATGGCGTGTTTGTTTTACCAATACTGTCATAAAATTATTTTTAATTAAGATTGCTGACGAATGCTGTTAATATAATCATTTTTCCGTATAATAATTATAATACTTATACAAGGATATGACATCTTGGATATAAATATTTATTTTTATAATTTTAATTTCACTATAAAGAAAAAAATTTAACAGTAACCAAATATTTTGGTTATATAACACATTCAATTGTTTTTGCAAAATAATTTCTCTGCTTTGTAAATAACAAAAATATTTATTTATACCTACTAAATAATTTGCATTAAATTACAGTTGTATTCAGTACATTTTAATCAAAAATTTTATTCGGTATATATTTTAATCAAATTTTTGTTGTTATATAGTAAAATTTTGGTTTGTAGAACAAAACATTTTCCTAGTGTTTTTGTATGATGATTCAGCAGAGCTCGTTGCTTATTATCTAATCACATTTTAAACAGAGAGAATCCTCTCAAAGAAACGATCTGAATAATAGGCGTTTATCTTTCAATAGATATAAATCGTGCAGTATCAAGCATTCATTTTTATCGCACACATGTGTACGCGTGCACGCTCGAGCGGAAGAGCCGGGGATAATATCCAGTAAATCGTCGGGGAGTCGTTTTATCGCGCTTCGGCCTTCTTGCCGTGGATTCCTTGCAGGAAGAAAGGGAGAGAAATCGCTCGACTAACGAGAACCGAAATCACATCTAGAGCCGTTAGGAAAATCAGCATGGTCAGCTGGCGGTATGTTTGCCGCAAGAAATCAATTAATCACGCTCGAATATAATCGCGCCGGTGATTTATTCGAATTTCCGGTAGGACCGACGCGTGTAGGAATTTGGAATCAGCCGAAGACGGGATTAAATTACATTCTCAGAAATCCGCTTTTGCGATTCACTCGTGGCACGGGATCGAATTCGATCGAAATTGACGAAATTAGATTGAATCTATGATGTAATTTTGCGCTTCATCTTCTCCGGCTTTATTTAATTGAGCCATTTTCTAAACGGGATTTCTTACATGCTATAGTTAAACCACTTCGATTTTATCTATTATTACTGATCTGTTGAGATGAAAGCTGGATACAATAGGAAAATTAAATGACCATGTATGTGTATTTTCTTCATTTGTTTTACGCTCGGAAACTGTTATATTATTTTATCACCTACATACATTATATTATTTTTTTTACGCGAATGAATTTTGTTTACTGCACATTCTATTTTCAGACTTTATCAAATTGATTACATGATTTAAAATTTCAAAAATACGGGATTATTAGAAATAAATCTGCGATCAATCAAATTTTAAATTCCATCGAGTCAAATGCAAATATAAATTTAAAAATGCCCAGAAAATCATATTCTCTCAAGTCTAATGTAAACTGTAGAACGGATAATATCGCGAAATGTGTCAATTGCAATCGAGATCCACGCTGAATGATATGAAGGAGCTTTCAGAACGATTACTCAATGCTTTCGATCGGCTCGGGGACAATTAAACGCTTATATCCAATTGGAATAGAAAGATTCCCGTCGAGGGAACTTCAGAAGTAGGAATCTCGGTTTCCCTCTCCATCGTTTCTTCCGCAATATCTCATTCCATAGCATCGCGACATCGTCTCCGTCGCCGCTAATTTTCTCGTTCCGCAGTAGTTGCAAGCTGGCGAGTGACGTCCGCGAGAAGCGCTGATATATTCTTCTTGAAATGCAAATGTTCTGGCGCTTAATAACTTGGGATTTAATCAGCGACAAAGCAATTTATACAAAAAGATTTCGAGATGCTGACGATGCCCGACTGGACGACGCGACCGACGCCGGGGATCAGAAATGGCGAGACATGTTTTGCACGGGAAGACAGTACGAGGCAGAAAGATGAAATGTCTTTCTTTATTACGAACTTCAGCCACGTTTTTAACTGAATTAATGCGATACGAAGGGACGCGATCGAGCTTCGCGAAACGTGAAAATTTCCAGGCGCATGTCAATTAATCGCAAATGTTTCATTTAGTCGCGCCGACGGTGGACGTTCTAATAACTTTTATCTGTGACATTTATACGTCACAACTGTCCGCAAACTTGCGTCGGATAATTTAGTCTAAAATCCAGACGAATGTCAACGATAAATTTCGAGCTTTGTATTACGTAATAGGCCATTACTCATAATGATATTAAAAGCCTGAATTAAAACGTGTGTATTTATCAGAATAATGGAAAAGGTGAGTGCGTGAGGGGAAGCAGATCTTTATCTTTAAATGTGAATTATTCTCGTTGATGAGTCCTTATTCGACGCTGTGTATTATGTACACAGTACTTTAGAAACGATTACGAACTTTGCGCACTTCATTCAGTTGGCCTCTTCAGCTACTTCACCGACTAAAGAGAAACGTTCCAAGGGAACTACGAGGAACTTACCCACGTAACCATGTCGGCGTTATCTCGGTGGGTGCAGCCAGCGAACAACTGGATGCCAAAACTGAGTGACTATGTACTTTTATAGAGAGCACCTAACTCACAGTACTTTCTTCCGTGCTTAGCACCAATGTCGTTTACGACGAGGCCTAATGTTTTAATTATCGCCATAATGCCCATCGGACCGCGACCGATTCCGATTGCTATTGCAATCATTGAATTCATTCATGCCTAATGATTTTTCCTCTATTCTAAACTTATTTCCGCTACGTTACTGCTAAATATTAAAGAATTAAATTTAAATTTTTTGAGTTAAATAACATTTTATTATTTTTAACTTCCAAGTGTGTCAAAGTGTATTATTAATTAAAACTTCGTGAGAACATGTAATTAATTACAAAAATAACCACATAATCTATTTCTTCTGTGATTGAATTGTTTAATTTTAAAGTAAACAGTATTTATATTGTATTAACATGTTTATATTAACATGCTGTGCCAATTTTAAATGACTTGACCGTAATGTCGTGTGGATCACCGGTAACTCATAGTATTTTTGTTTACGTTGTTATATTTGTTAAATAATATATATTTCGTAATGGTTAAAAAAATTGCAAAAATTATTATTATACAGAAGAAGCCTTAATGTAAAATATTGCATCACATATTATAATTATGTATATTTCGCATGATATTAAGAATTATTTTATAATTATGTTCCTTTTTATAGCTAAAATATTAAGCGGTCTAAACTGAAAGTTTAGCGTTGGTCACCGGTTCCACGCGGCATGGAATGTGGTGCACTTAGTTAATTACTTAACGTATGCACTTAGTAAATAATAAACTAAAGAAAAATGTTGAAAAAGGGGTTGATTTTTACTCAAAAAAGTAAGTAAAAGAAATAGTGTTGTTTGTACATTTTTACTTTCTGGAATTTAATTTTATTGCCTAGGAAGTCAAAATCTACAAAAATAACATTATTTTTTTATTTATATTCTTTTGAACAAAGAACTGATCCTTTCTCAACTTTAGAGTCAATTAATTAATATATTTTTTGAGTTAAATTCTTTAATTCCGTCGTTTTAGTTAAATTGATGACATATTGAGTAGCGACCTATAGGAATGATAAAAAATAATTCAAATTAAGTATAGTTTGATATTATAAATTTAACAATGTAGAAGATCTCGGATAAGTGCCGATCGCGTTTAGTGCTCGATAATACCAACGATATAGGAATATCATATTGCTGTAATTTTTTAACAAAATATATTATGCAACATGATATATTTTGTCCGAATTAATTTCATACCGATGCACCGTTATTTTTTCTGCATGCAAAAGTATACATAATTTCTATGAATTTTTATGTACTATTTTTGTATAACGGTAATAAAGCGTACGGTGGATATATATCCGAATGAGGATGAATGCGTGTATGAATAAATATGATTTTTTTGCATTTAAATTTTTGGCGATATTTATATCGCGCGCACAAAAATTTACTCCGCGTAATAACAGGGTGAATTACAGTCGCGCCAATTATCTCGGTTCAAGAGGAAGTAGTAGCTCTTAATTACCGGAATTAAACGAACGAATGCGAAACGCTATATGACCGTGTTTTAAGGATCTATTATCACCGTCAGAAAATGTAATTTAATTTTACTCGTTTCTGTAACTAAATACTAATCGAATTTTCCGCTTTCACGTCATTTTCATATCCGTTCGCATCCCTTGAGGGCAATGACAGCACTCACATTGCATAGACTATTCAATACGCATATTAAATGTACGCTGTGCGCGATCAGTCAGAAATGAAGCAGGCGATACGTACGACCGAGCTAAATTAGTAACATTTACTCAATAAGGCGAATTCTGTAGTGACTTGCTACGTCACTCTCATTGACACGAACGCTCGGGGACAACCATTAATATTAATGCATCCGATAATGTACTTACGAGGTGATGGATTAAGCAAACTTCATCTCAAGTTATTACGGGGTAAAATTAATTAAAAGCACGTGGCAGCGACAAAATATATTTTAAGTAGGTATATTAATTCGTTATTTGCGTGTGATCCTCGAACAAAATTGTATCATACAAAAAAGTATTTATTGATATAATATTTATTTTATGTCAATAAGCAGCTTAACATATATTTATGTATTTAATATTTGATTATATAATATTTATCGGAGTTAATATGTGGTATCTCGATGTCATATATTTTACGCACGGTTTATTACAGTCGAGTTAATTTGTTTGTGCCAATTATCTCATAGAACATTGTTATTAATGATCAAATAATACAAGCAATGAGTTTTGAGAATGTAGCTATCGAGATTTCGAAAGTATTTTCCTTCCATTCGCGCAACTATACGAGACCGAGAGTTAAGTCGAGAGCATCAGGATTCTCTAATAGTCTAAAGCAGGGGTGGCCAACCGCGTAACTCGTGGAACGCGAAGGTATTCTCAGTAGTATGTCTAAAGCACGCGTATCAGAATTAAAAATGACACAGTAAAATAACAACTAAATTTACTTAACTAAAATTTATTTTTCACACGCTCTCTGGCTGCGTTTTTTTTGGTTTTTGTATTAAACTTTATTTATTTTAAAACGAATGTAAAACAGAATATGGTAAAAGAAATAAACTTTGCCAACACAAAAAAAGTTTTTTACTTTTGATGCAAGAGGAGAAAGTATAAATAAGATGACGATATTTTTTTTGCTTAATTCTAGCATAGCACATTAAAAATATTGAATCTCCATATTGGTATGTCAAATAAAAAGATTGGCCACCCCTGGTCTGGAGATTATTGTCAACATTCGGTGAGTGTTTCCTTATCGTAGATATCGCGATGAAACATTCTCGTGAAACAGCAGTAAAGACAAATACCCGATGTACCAACGTTATGCTCGTGCGGCCAATTGCGATGCACACAACTCTCTCTGTATAGTTCTCTCGTAAAACATTTATTTACTATCGAGCTTCGTGCTAACTCGCTATAGTGTTCATAATTCTTTGGTAATCTCTGTTTCATCATTTCATATTCGATTTTCTTATGTCAAAGGTTGCGATTTTCGTTCTGTACTGCATTTTGTTTCTTTAATTCTAAGACGTTACGTAAATTTTATGCCATTTTGAATAGAATATACCAAACTTTTAAGAACGTTTTTCCTTTATTCTATTCTTCTATATGTCAATTAGTTTTCTGAGTTTATTGGAGTAAAAATTTAATTAAGAAATTCATGAAATTAATTTACTTTCTATACGTAACATTTATGTCGATGTAACGTTGTTCAATAACTACATTTTAGGATTGAGCTCCTTGTATTCTTTTACTTTCTTTGAATTTCTTGTATGTAGAGAAAAGTTGGAAAATTGCGAATACATATTTAAAGAAAATGTTAAATAAAGCTGACGATTATAATAGAGCATAAAATAAAATTTAATGTTTGATCCGAAGATTAAACCATGGTATTTTTATGTATTTTGACGTTCTGAAACTGAACTTCGATATCTAAATTGCTGCATCATGTTACAATTTTTTTTATTAACAGAAAATAGCTCAATTTTCCGGTATTTTTAAAGCCATATATGACCTGGTTTTTAATGTACAAGTTGAAATAACAGAGAAAATGTAAGTTCAACGATAATATGCAAGCTTATAAAGTTAATATGCAAGCTGGTAGATTAGAAATACTGGGAAATTGAGTTCAATATTTTGGATAAAAAAACTTTGTTTGTGTTTGCCTGTTATTTATCAATTATAAAAGTCTTTATACAAAGGAGATATTTGAGTTATTTCGTTTTCAATTACTATTAAAATTTATATGTTTCATATCAACTATACTTTTATAAATAAAAAACAAAACTTTTGCTGTTCGGAATTACCTGCTGTGAAGTAATGCCGAATCTTGTTTTTTGTTTAAAATTACAGTTTAAATTGATAATATATAATATAATATATTATAGGACCATACATGTGATAATACAAACTATAGAAATCAAAGCCTTAAACGGTCTAGCTGGATCTTAATGCTTGTATGATTCTTATGTGAATTTATATACTACGTATGTAGTCCCCAGAAACGTGTGCCGAAATGATTTTTCGGTCTTGAAACGCTAACTCTATTAAACTACCGCAGTAATATCACGAGTTAAATTGACTGGCAATTTAACTAATTGCGTGATATTACTGCGGTAGTTTAATAGAGTTAGCATTTCAAGACCGAAAAATCATTTTGACGCACGTTTCTGGGGACTACATACGTAGTATATAAATTCACATAAGAATCATACAAGTATTAAGATCCAACTAGACCGTTTAAGGCTTTGATAATATATAAATTAGTGTGCGTGCGTGCGTGCGTATGTGTACGCATTTTAATTATTTTAATTTAAAGCCTTAATATCCTTAGAACAAAGACTTTTATAATTAACAAATAAATCGAAGGTTTTATTTAACTTTTCCCTGGGTATTTACAAATTACTCCATTCCTTTTTACATTTGAAAGAATTTTCTTTTGTAATACAGTTGTCAGATGTAACAGGCAAATTAGAACTTGTATCCGCTCCGTCTCAAGTTCAATGAAAAGTAATCTAAAATCTGTTACAACCCAATATCTATATGGCACCAACAGTAGTCTCTTACTCGTAAATCTAGATCGTACACGATTTCAACTTAGTCGAAACTTCTGCGGGCTTTTAGTATACCCAGTTTCCCAGTTAGGGAAACGTAATATTTGTTTAATGCACAGCCAGATAGTCACTGTGTCGAACGAAAAGGGACTCCGAGCGAAGTCGAGGCAGAAGAGGCATTATTAGTCGAGCCGCAAGCTTTCCTCGTCTACTGCCTCCTCTCCATCTTCGAAGCTGCAGCATTACTAGTGGTCTGGTAATTACTTCCGCACGATTTTCCCGGCGATATGGCGCCGCGTAGAAATTTAGGAAACAAACGAGATGTTCGAATCGATCGAGACGTTAGTTACGGTCTGGCTCTTCACACAATTTGAGTCGTTCCCGTGTAGCATCCTT